TACTTGTGGCAGAAAACTTAGGGCAGACAATAAAGCCACTGTGGTTGGATTATTAATATATTGTAAACACATCACTTTCAACTAAGGCTAGATGTGCTACAGGCCAATGAAATTCACATTTTCACAAGCCAGGACTGTTAAATGCTTCTTTGGTAGCTCTCAGGAAAAGATCTTATTTTGTGGTAATATGGCCACCCAAAGTCAATATTTTACTACATTGCGAAGGAAGTTTTTAAGTGGAAAGAATAAAGCATTGTTTATTGTACTCTATTACACTTTTATTTATGGCATTGTGGTGGTGCCACCCCCCCGCCCTCGAGCCACACTGTGATCTCAGAGAAGGGTGTCAAACTCTTCAGTGCAGAGTCTGAGTTATGCACTCAAGGCTCGGGTATCAATGCAGGGCATCTCACTTCCCCTGCTTCACACGCTGCTTCCACCGCACCGCCAGCCAAGCACAGCAGGATCCTTATCGAGCACAGCTCTTCTAGAGGGAGAATGTGCCACAGCAGCACACCACAAGCATTTCATCTCCATCCCCTGCTCCCTTGTGGTCCACCCGGCAGCAAATGACTTCCTCCCACACTGTGCTGGCTTCTTTCTGCTGCGGGGAAGCAGAGAGCTTGAGTGCACAGCAGAAGTGCAGACTTACAGAGACACAGCCCTGCCAGCAGGCTTTATCCCTGGCCATGACCTGGGATGGGGGACTCCTCTGGGAAATGGAGAGGTCATCCCAAATTCACCAAGGGCAATAGTCTGTGGGGATCAGAGACGAGGGCACTGACTGCAAGAGAGAAGAGTTTAATGGTAAACCAAGATCTCCATGCACATGGCCTTCAGCATTGTTGTAAATAATGCTCCTAATAAAGAGCCAATTAGACCAACAATCTCATTACTATCCAGCATGCAGTGTAGGAAGGACTAGCCTAAAGCATAACTGAGCAAAAGTGAAAACACAGCTCCACATTTCCTGTTACAATGTACACAGGCATAAGGAGACTTAATTATATGTGTAAGAGGTAACAAGCATGGAGAGCTGAGAGAATGGCAGGCATCCTTATAAAGAAGCCCCACAGTGTGGCACTTTGCAGCAATGCCCATTAACAAAACCCAGCCCAATGTGTTGTAGTCACCCCACACTTGTCCTGAGCACAGACACCTGGATGGCCCTGCCAAAGCCTCCCCAGTGCCTGCTCCTCCTGGAGCAGCAGGAACTGCAGCATGGTGGTGGCACAGGTGGAGAGTCAGCACCAGGGCTGGAGGCAGGACCATGGGCTTTCCACAGAGCCATGAATGAGGATGCAGGGAAGGTAGGGGATGAGGAGAAGCCTGGGCATTGTGGGTGTCTGTGATTTCTTGAGAAAGGAGCTCAGGACTGGAGACCCTTTGCCAAACCCAAACGAGAAATGTTGTCACGGTAACTGTCCGTGCTACGCGTGGCTCATGCTAATACAGAAATTCAGAGAAAATTATTTCATAGGATCCAGTGACAATGCAGTGAACTGTCAAACAAAACATATTTATCTTACATCCATCCCTTAAACCTTTGGCTTCCAATTTTCCTTCACATAACCAAAGAAATACCATGCAGACTAGTTTTGGAATAGCTCTCATGTAAATCATCCCCTTGGGCTTGGGCCGCTCAAGCTGGGGTTCAGCCTGAGTGACTTTTTATAGCTGAGTTATAAACTTTTAAATGCCAGACTTAATCAGAGCTACTGAAATGGTCATTAGAGTGGTTTAAGTGGCATAGCCCTGATATATGACAGCACAGAAAGTAGGCAGGTGGCTCATCTGCAGTGGGCAGTCCATCTGGGAGGGAGCAGGGTCTGGTGGCTGGAAACAAGCATGTCTGAGACACAGATCTCTGGAGTTTTGCTCTTGCCCTTGTGCTACTGCTGAGTGACTTCAAGCAAGCTCCCTTGGGATGTGCTGCCCTCAGCAGCCAGGTCTCAGATCAAAGGCTTAGAGGAAGAGATGGCTCACCATGCCCTGGTTGCTCCAATATGCTGAGAACATGAATATTCATCCACCTCCCCTCGGCAAACTGCAAGAATTGTAAGAGAGTTGGTCTACGGTTTCACACAATGTTGTGTGCACTCAAAACACACAAATGAGCCTCATTTTTGGCTTGGAGCAATCACCCACAAAATCTTACTGAATAATTATAATCACAAACACATCAGACACTGAAGAGCTCAGGCTTAAGGGGGTCTAATGCTGTTTTGCTCCTTACCAGGAGGATTTGTAAAGCTTTGAGCCCCCTAATTTTGCTGAGACACACAGCAGGTTCCAGCTGTGCATGGGAGAGCCTCCCTCACTCTGCAACATTACTGTGGTCTGAGCAGAACTGGGCAGTCATCAATGTGAAAGGTGCTTGCACAGAGAAATTGATCCGAATGAAAACAGTACAGGAGCTTTTCAGGGTCTTCTTTCTAAATTTATTCAAGTATTAAACAAACAGAAACTACAGCATGCATCAGATACTTTCCTTTATTGTACAACAAAACTGTGGACTTGTTTGTATTTGCAGCATTTCCAGCAACATCAGGCAGACTTGTCGATGTTATCCAGTTTTGCACAGTCACTAGAGTGTCGCATCATGAATTATTAAATCAGTGCTTCGTGGTAATACATAATTTCTTATCAATTATTCATGCTAATGTGCGTGTAGTTTACTTAATTGTGTTATTGACGATCAAAAGTAATTTCCTGAAAATCCTCAAGGACAGAAAATTTAATCAGCGTAACTACTTTTCAGATGCAATGCTGTTAAGTATTCTTAATTTGCTCAACAATTCACTTATTTATGTACCTTTCTGGAGGAAATACGAGTTTAATCAAACAATTAGATTGAAGAGTTAGTGTACAGAAGGGCTGAAGTTCAACTGAATGCAAGGTAATTATGTTGAAACAAATTTGGGCCTGCCTCTTTGGACTGGAATATTTTTTTTAGTCTTTTTTTTAGGAGGGAGAAAAAAAATTATGATTGGGAATATCACTAAGAAAACAGTGATCCTCTATCCTCCAACCACACCCCACAACAAAGCACACAGTGATCCCTGTTATTTTGGTGGAAGCATTGCTGCTGTTGTTAAGCTAAGCCATAACTTCCACCCCCAGTTCAGCAGAGCAGCTCCTGAAGATGAAGTACAAAAGCAGACCACAGGCTACTGTATGTTCCCCTCCCTGCATTAGGACAGTCAAGAATCCCCAAAAGAAACACACTATGTGGCAGAAGTAAAATAAAATTACTCCATTTGATGCATGTGGGCCCTGCCTGACTTTTTTTTGTTCTCTGACTGAAGGACAGACCCGGCAATGCCCTCTCTGCTGGCTCGTGCCCAGAAAACACGAACTCCACTCTGGGGGTGCCTGGTACCCTTGGCACATCCACAGTGATGGTGCTGGGTGCTGCCAACTGACCCCAGGAACACCAGGGCTCCCACCCTCTGAGTGGGTGCTGACCCATGGAAAGCCATGCCTCATGGAAAGGAAGGTGTGCACCAGGAGGTATGAAAGGGTCCTGTGAGCCCCAGAGAACTCCCAGGTTCTGTGAAATTCATGGTCTGAAACCACTTACATGGAGGAGACAAAATTCTGATGCCAACTTTATTCAGGAATGCCTTTCCAAGCACATCCCCAAACCTGGATGCTGTGAACAGCCAAACAAACCCTGTGTAAAGGCATGTGTTAGCACATTTCAGGAGCTCCACAGCACAATGGGCAGGATCAGGGGTGACAGGAATCCTTCCACTAGCCTCCATGTTACTTGATGAAAATCTCAGAAAAGTGGTTTCAGCCTGTTCTCCAGGGACACCTGTGGACAAGCCTAAGGAATCTGCAAATGGCATCCGGAAAAGTCAAGTTCATGTCCCTAAGTTTAAATCCTCATGTGCAGTTCCCAAGGAAAAAAAGTGAGATTAAAATGACTGCTCTTTAGATCTAAGTCTGCTTTGCTTTGGGTGAGAGATAAGACTAAATTTAATAAGGCATCAAGTTCTCCTTTGCACTGTTCCCAATCTATAATAATTAGTATCTTTTCATATCTAGATTCATTACAACAAGCTTTCAGTAAATGGAATAGTGTAAATTTGGATGGCATAAAGGAATATCCTTCCGAGCTTTATTTCCTCCTTATTAAACATAAAACATGGAAAAACATATCTGCAGTCTTGCAATGAGGGACTATTTTTGTCTTCCAGTCTCTTTTTCCAAGACAGTGATGTCAAAATACCCCCAGCTTTGTGCAGATCTAGAGACAATTCACTCTCCATTAAATACCAACATTACTGTTTGAAGCTGTGAATGCCACTCTGAAGTCGTGTGCTTTTCATGTCTAATGCAGCGAATGGCAAGAGTAATTCACTAATGTTCACACAGAGGCTAGTGCAAGGATTTTAGTCACAAGTAAACTCATCTCAGCAATTTTCCAGTAATCTATGCATGAGAAGTTTCACTTTCAGAGAAAAGAAAAAAGAAGAAAAATTATGAAGATTTTTGTTCTATTTTCTGCTTCTCTTACACCTAGATTGCCTGGGATAGGTTTGGTTGAAGTCAAATGCCTTCAGAAAATAGCAGGCCAAATTGGGATATAACTGGATATTCCTTCCCCTCTGTTGTGAGCGGTGGAGTGCCTGGGTGCATGTCTTGCCCCCAGAACTCACATCTGGAAGTGATATGCTGCTTCCAACCATCCATTTCACACAGGATGGGAAGTTGAGATGTGCAGGAGCAAGCCAGGATCTTTTCAGTGTCTTTTCAGGATGTATGGGGCAAGGGGGGAATAAAAACAGTTTCACCAAAGTTTCCAAACATAGATAGTGCTGATAAATCAGGGAAATGAACCTACAGCGACACAAGAAAAGCAAGGGTGCATGAAAGGCAGCCAAAGAGGCCGCTCAGCTGTGCGGGTCCCTGGTGGCCCCATGGACGTCCCACTGGGCACGGCCACACTGCAGTTCACCCCGCGGCAGGGCACGGGCGGCAGAACTCCGCTCTCATACGCTCTTCTCGCCTTCCATGTGCTCCTTGGCCGCAGGGGGCTGCTTGTCCTGGCTGCCCTCGGGGCCGGGCTTGGCGGGGGGCGTGGGGCTGCTGCTGGCAGCGGGCAGCAGGTTGGCAGACTGCAGCACGGCCTCCGAGTGCTCGCGCGCCTTCATGCGCAGCGCCGCCACGCTGGCCGTGCGGTTGCTCTGGCAGCCGTAGGTGGGCAGGAAGGACAGGCCCATGGGGTCTGGAACACAGCACGAGCACAGAGGGCTCCCTGGGGAGGAAGGAGAGAAGCACAGTCACTGCTGGGGAAGGTCATGGAAAACATCTGTTCCCTCCATGGTCAGTCTGAAGAGGACAGAGATGGAGTTGATCTTTAGTGGGTACACGGGTGTCCTCTGGATCACTAGGGCTAGAAAACCCATATCCTGTTCTGCTGATCCTTCTGTGAGAAGGATCTTACACTGTGAGTCATTCAGGGTGACAAACAGAGTGCAAGAGGGAAGTAGAGACAGAAGTGAGCAGTGAAGTTCAGATCACACATGAGATTTCCTCATAAGCAAGGCTCAGTTCAGTCCCTCCTCTCATATCAAGCTGCTGTTCTGCGGCTGCCATCAACCCCGTGCTGGAGGTGTCTCCTGCCCTCCACCTTCACACTGAGCCTGATCAATGTAGGCAGCAGCATTTGGTGAGTGAGTGTAGGGGTTCTGTCACTCATCTTTGCCTGAAAGATTACAGCAGAGAGAAAGGTGAAAATATTCCATTCGTTATGATGACCTTCTCCTGTCTCACTGTAAAATGAGATTCTTTCCCTTGGCCAAGCCCCTGCCAACTACTGACACCATCTACCTGCAAGAGTCCATTCTACCTTTACCCATTCAGTGTCTGTGCTGCTTCACGGAGACGCCTCAGAAGTGAGCCAAAACTACCTAAAGCTGCTGCTGTGATACAGCTTTAGAGTCCCATCAGGAGAGATGGGCCAGAGCATTTCTACCCTGTCATTTGAGACACGTGGCTGTTCCAAGCAGGCAAGAAAGCACTGCAGCACGGATGAAGTGATTACTCTCTCTTGAAGCCAAACCTTCCTGCAACCCACTGACAGAGGCAGTCCTCACTCCACCAGCTGCTTTCCTGAGGCTCTTCCCGTGGTTTCTCCTTGATAATGCTGGAGCTTGGGCCAGTTCCCAAACAAGCACATCTGGAATTGTAGGTTGATCACTGGGCAGGACATGCAGTCCATCCAAAAACCCACACTGGTACTCAGCTTAGAGGCATTTATTGAATGTTGGAGAATGTGACAGAGGAGTAGGATGGGGAGGCAGGGTGGGATGGCTGAGCTACTTCTTGTATTTACTCTTTGGTTAAAAACCAGACACCATTAGTCACCATGTTTCCAGGGGTCTTAGAGGCCACACCAGCTCTACATCCTCATGTACAACCCTGACAGAAGCCTGTCTTTTGCTGATATGCTATCTTTCAACAAGAAACAGCCCAGCCAACTACTGGCACCCACACATCCTGACACGATGCAGTATCTTCCCCTGATCTCTCCAAGCCAAGGACTTGCTTTAATTTCTGCAGTTAATGTCTGAGTTAAATGGCTCATGACTAAGTGATGGAACTAATAACCTCCAGAGTTTTACACTTCTGTTCTTGGTAGCAACGGGTCAGCACCCATCTGCCAGGAATGAAGGCAGACAGTTGTTTGTTTTTAAGATGTTGGCAAGACTTCTCCACAGCAATTGTCAGAGATTTGTGGTTGCCAGCAACATTCGGGAAAAAGTATTCCTTGCATTTCAAAAAACGGCATCTACAAAAGACAGCTTATTAATATAAATGGAAAGAACCCTTTTCTCTTGTAATACTTCTCTGATAAAGCATATGATCAGCAGACCAACATTTCCATGGGTCCAGGCATTTAAGCACAAGCAAGTTTCAGCACTTGACTAAAATCCTCTGCCTCTTTTGCTTTTAGCTTGAGGAAGCTCAGTCTTGAATTCTGTGGCTGTTTTGAGCAGGTCAGAAGGAGGGTTTATAATAAAATCTACTCAGTAACACAACTTACAGTTTTTGCCACCACCAGCCACACTCATAAAGTAATTTTTTGCCCTGTTGAATCACAGCCACTGTTTTAACAAGAGGGAGGAGAGGCCCTTCAGAGTCCCTGCAGTTTGCAGTAGGTTTTTTGCACCAAGCCCCACTGTCTTCAGACTCTGCTCAGAGATGGGGGAGCTGGGAGGCCTGCAGGAGCATCACCTGCCTCTGCACTGCTGCTTTCTAACACAAACTGAATGAGGCTTTCAAACACAGCTGTTCAGCTCCCAGGCTGAGGGGAGGGCTGGCCTGCAGTGCCTAATGCAGGACTGGGCACAGACATTGCTTAGTGGGAGGTGGGGAGAAGTGGAAAGGAGTCTTCCCCTTTTCAAAAAAGCAGGAATCAGCTCCATTCCCTAAGAATAATTTTCATTCCATTGTTAGGGGAATAAAATATTTATCAGTATTCAGCACCAGCCTAAGATCTTTGCTTAATAATTTGCCCTGATATTACCTAGTGGCTCTGCAACCTGAGGGTGCAGTTACTTGTGGTGGAAACAAAGCTATCTCTAGCAATAATTCACCCATAAACCATTCCTTTCATTTCCACTGAGGTTGAAATACTTGCAAACAGCTCACACATGAAAAAAAAAAGTAAAGTAAAAAGCATCATTTTCTCCAGGGTCCAGCTGGAATAGAGGAGAAAAGGATTTAGCCCTGTTCCTTTTTAATGTATGTTGTAAAGAAGGTTGACTCTACCTTACAATCATCTGAATCTGCAGGTACTAAGTCCAGTGAAATGTAGTGCACTTTGCCAGCACAAAGCCAAGGCCAACAGTGGGACACCCAGAAGCCCAAGGTCTCCACCTTGCCATCAGTCAGCCCACAATCTCCAGAAAAGTGACAGTGGCCAAGACACAGGCATCCATATATAGCAGGCAGCAGTAGTTTGTAAATCTTATTGCAGTAGCCCTGAGCCCACAGTGGGAAAGGAAGGAATTGTTCCTACTTATTTCAAATCTTCAGAGGACTTCAGGCATCCACCTCCCATCAAAATCAGTGAGGGTTCAGCCATCAGCCCTAGATCTTGATGCAGCCCCCACCAACATCTATGGCAATCTGAGATTAGTTTATCAGTATTTGTATCAAGTTGCTGCAATATGGACTGGGTACTGTTTGCTTTCTTTCAGGAACTTACTGCCTTCTGTACACAAAATTAAAATACACAATTAGATTTCCATTAACTTACGGCAAATTCTGCTGGATTGATCTGAACCTCCTTCTATTCCTATATGAGATCATACTTTAAATGCCCAGCCTGAACATAAATACTTAATGTAATAAATACAGTCTGAAATATTTGATCCACTTGGCAGTTTAATTGATCTACTACAGAGACTGACAGGAAAAATTAAATTAGTTTTGTCTTGTCTCTGCCAACATCACATTTAAATTGTAACAATATTTGATCTACACTTTTCATTGTGAACTCTTTTGTGCAGTTCTATGGTTCAGTTTAAGGTGGGAAGAGAGGGATAGGAGTGGGGCACATGCTGATACATAAGCATCAATATAAATTTTTAAATATGCATTTGGTGTTTCAAGTCAAGGGCTTAAAGAATTTAATAGGTAGTCTTTCCAAAAGGCAAACTCCACATTCCTTTCCTCTTTCATTATTTGTGCATATCAGCATTTGATATGGACAGCTGAATTACAACCTGACATGGAGGGAAGGAGAGAAAAAATCCCATTTAAAATCCTCATATCTCAATGCATGATGTTTAATTTTCAGAGAAAATATTATGTTTGATTTAATTATTGTTATCTTCTCATGGTAGTCACATTCGTTTTCTTCAGCTCTAATCCCTTTCATAGGATTGGAAGGTCAACAACATTCTCAAGTTTGTAGTGTTGATTACCAGTGGGAGCTGAGTCAATGGGAGCTCCCTCTTGCACTTCCCAGATGACACCTACATTCTGTCAATTAAAGCCTAAGTCAAAAGTAGGAAACATAAAAGTGGCTTTATCCCAATCTTCTTGAGCTCTGAATCAGGAAGCTCAGAATAAGAAAAGCATGAACTCAGTTCTGAAATGGAGAAGCATCAGATGGTCCCAGTTTAATTTGGGGTAGCCTCAAGGCTGCTGGAATTATACTAGATGGCTTCTCCTTCTATTGAGAAGATGGTTAAATGTGAAAGGTATCCTGTGCTGCCCAGAGGCTGGAAGAGCACTTCAGAGGTGACAGCAGAATACAAATGTTATAATTTCACATCTCCTTGGCTGTGACCCCTCCATGCCCAGTAGAAACAAAAAAGAGCTGATGATCTGGCTCAGATGTTCCATCATCAGGAGCCTTTTTGTCGAAATAACTCAACACTGGAACTGGAGGATTTCATCCTCCTTTATTTGTGCTAATAGTACTCTCCAAAAAAAAAAAAAAAAAGCTAAAAAGCTGGGAGACAGCACCTATTTCCTACCCATGCTTTTAGGGCTCCAAGTACCTGTGTATTTCCTACTGAAAAAGACCAAAAATCTCTACCTGTGAGGTAGGGCAGTGCTAGAGCTGGGGACCTGTGATATGGGAATCAAAATAATTTTCTTAATGTGTGTGCATCTGCAGCAAACTAAAGAAATGTTTTAGATTCTCTGAAGTCAGAGTAGCAGATTAACTAAGAAAAATGCCAAGCAAACCCACTTAATATATTGGCTGTGTTACATCAGAAAAGTCAGTAAATCCATAATCAAGAATGACACTGAAAATAAAAGACTCCAAGAGTTTTATTCTCATTCCCCAGTCTTACAGTAAACAGGGGAGCTTCAGTTCAGCAAATACGAGTTCAAGGGTGAGTTAGGTCCTTGAACATTTCTTTCATAGCCTCGGCAATGGGAATTGCCCAACGGAACTGAGCAAATTCCCTCCATCATTCCATAATAGCAATTGAAATGTAATGGACGGGCAGTTCTAGTTATGTTTTAGGGTTTTTTCCCTGGATACTGCAATTAAGCCTCCCTAATATGAACAGCAACCACAGTAGCAGCAAACCATAAAAGAGCCTAATCAACAGTGGCCTGCAATACCCATTTGGATGTGCATAATACAATTGTGCTTCTCTCTCAGTGGTGTGGGGGTGCCGTGAAAACCAACTGAGCTATAACTTGCACAGAGAAGAGCTGTGGGTGAATTATGAAAGTAATTCCCTGGCAAGTGTAATTATTTCTCTCCTCATACACTTCACTCATCATGGGTCTGGGGAAATTTCAGCGGAACGTAACAGACACACTCTTGGCCTCAGCCACCAGAATGGTAGAACACATCCGCTGAAAAACGGAGATTCTTGTTTACACCCATTAATAACATCTTCTGCATTAATGAATTGCATTCATGCTGTCATCCATTAAGAAGGTACTTTGAGGTCTCTCTCTGCACAGAACACTAGCTTCTCCAGATGACTCTGTAGTTATACAGCCCATAAATAAAACAAGTATTTTCCCTTCATCTTTGAGGTCTGCAATTAAATCTACTAAATGGACTGCAGATGCCTGGCTTACAGTAAGTGTTTCATCTTAGAAGATCATGGAACTGTCGAAGTCACCACAGTGAAGTAGCATAGTTGTCAAATCAGTGCAATTTCAGAGAGTAATGAACATCAGAAATTTCATCTCTGCAAGTCAACCTTTTTCCTCATTATGGCCAGTGGTGAAGTACTAAACCCCTGAAGTAGGAAATAGTGTATACCCCAGAAATTATGACGTTGTGCTACTTTTTCAAATGAGGAATTGTATTTCCTGACAGAATAGTACAAAGGGAGATGATACAGTGGTTAACAGATGTTTGCTATTGAGTACAGCCTCCAATGTGCTAAACTTCAGAGAGACAGGAGACAGAAAAAGGTCTGTTGTATTATTGAACAGAGAATATTTGATAGAAACAGAGAAAAACTGTCCAGTGACAATATTCTTCTCTGGAAAAAGTCTATATTCTGAATAACAGCTTTCTTTGCATAGTATAGCCATCCCATTTTATTAACAGAACATCTTGTGGTGCCAATATCCTCACTTTTATGGAAAAAAAAAAAATCTCGCTTTCAGAGATAGCAGAGTTCATGAGGCATAGTCCTTAGGGAAAATAGCTTTCTTCTCATCCATCAGAGCAGACCTGGTCTCATGCTCCAAGAGTATCCCCATATCCTAGAAATGGCACATGGGGGGTCCAGAGCCACATGAGGCAAGCCTAATGAGCACTTCACAATCTTTCCAAAATCAAAGCTGCAGTCTTGGTCTCTGCCCTAGACTCGGCTGTCTAAAGATTTCCTATTTCTTGTAGACCAACTTGACCCTCAGCTATTACATCCTTATATTACAAATTAGATCCCAGAATCTTGTGGCCTAAGCACTTTATGTAGCTCTGGAGACCTGGAGCCAAGCAAAGCCAGAGAAAGAGAGGTATTGGGTTTTTATACTAAAGATGAAGAACTCTCAGATGACAGAATGAAAATGGTCCCTGAGAGCATAAAATAATTATTAATTACTTACATCACTATCATCACTTGTTATTCACTGTATTGATTTTGTCTCCTTCTAAAGCATCAGTCAAATATTATTCACCAACACCAGCAAAGTGTTGTCTCACAAGTCCAACAAAACGCATCTTGTCTCCTCAAAAGAGTAAGAAAACAACCTACACTTCCTAGTAGAACCTGATATGCTGAGAGTGCTCATTTTTTTGCAGGCAGCTCTTATGGCTGTACTGAAGAATGTGACTCCCTTTACTGGCCAGGGTTGTTCTCCCAGTGGTGGGAATATATATCTGTTTACAAGATCCACATAGAGGAGCTGCATTTTGTTTGACACTTGCATAGAAGAAAGCAGGACCATGCATCTTTTCGTAGTGGAATAATGCTTTGATTCTGGAGCAAATGTTTGCCTTCAAAAGCACAGAGAATTCGTGGTAATTTCAAAGCATGGCTGCCACAAGACAAATACTGAGAAGACCTCTCAATTATTTCACTCTTCAATAAAACTTGCAAAATTTTGGGAAACCTTTCTACTTGCTGGGTTTTCCCTTATCCAAGCAATCCAAAAAACAAGCAGTTCATAGCTTTATGCCCTGTGCTGAGTTTTATGGGATTTGTGTGACATAAAGTCCTATGCCTCCAGACTGACTGTGACAAGGTTCTGGCATCATTTCTGCAGCAAAATGCAACTAGATTTTCAAGGGAGAGGCTTAGGTCCCTTAATTAAGATGTATAAGGACATATACTATTGCCCACACGCACACAGCTCCTGTCTCAAACAGAAATCAAAAGAGAGTTGAACAAACTGAAGCGAGCATATGACAAAGACAGTCACATTAAGGTTCCGTGAACACTGTGCCTCCCCCTGTCCTTTCCTTCCTTCTCACAACCATTATCTTTTCCTTCAGACTGACACGTGAGTTTGGTTGTGCTCTCAAATGCACTGGTTTAGATGAAACATCATTTACCTGCAGTTTCCATAGCAAAGAAAAGTGAACTGTGCATTAGGGCTGTGATGCCTTTGGTCCACTCAGAAGATCTAGAGATTGCCCTGGTCACCAGTTAACAGGACCAAAACTCAGTGACTGCTGTGCACAGCTTTACCCCAGCCCAAGGGAATTACTCTTGAAGAAATGGGGAAAGAGGAACTTGTGGAGATGGGCCATGGAAGGAGGACACAATACTCCATATATCAATGCCACAATGTTACAATCATTCTCTGCTTGTATATATCAGATTTGGTCCCTCATATAATGGTAAGTTCTTCCCCCTTAACCCCAAAGCCTGAATTTCACATTACTAAGACATAGCAGCAGAAGAAGAGCTCCCCTCAAAGCAGCAGCTCAGACTACCAGTCCCTTGCCAGGATAACAATACCCTGACAGGCACACACAGCTCCTGGTAGGTGCATACACAGATGTGCAAATCTGTATCTGCATTTCATAAAATCAAAATATGCTACTTTATCCCTTGCACGTACCTGGAGATTTCTAGAGCCAGGCAAGAAATATAAAGCAGACATTTCAGGAATGAACTGCATGTCTAACTGACAACATTCACCAAGACAATATGCAGGCATCTGATACCTGACCATTCCTATACAAATTGTATAAATAAAAAATCTCTATCTACATTTGGGACAGTTTTTTCAGGGACATTGCCTCTTACTCTGGGCAACTGACTATTTAATACCTACAAAAGATTCAGGAACAGAACTTTTTCTGCCCCTAGGCTGTAAATCTTCAATCAAGCAAAAAAGAGCAAATTATTAGTTTCTCAATTTATTGGCTAAGCTGTAAAATCAAAGAAAAGAGTAACAGGAAGTCTTCCAAACAAATAAAACTAAAAATAAACAAATAAAAACAACAACAACAACAAAAAAATCCAACCCCAAACCAACAAAAAAACCCAACCAGCTAAAAATAGCAACCCCTCACAACAATTTTAAAATGTTTTCTATTTCATTTTGCTTGGCTTTGTTCATTTGGGCAATTTAAACATGAAACCAGTGAGAACACATATTGATGCATTTAATTTGAAAATGTTTGAATGTAAACTTTAAGGAAAAAGCCCCCTTTACTGTCATCAAAATTATTCAATGAACACAACCCTATTTCCACACTTTTCAACCTGTCTGGGATTACACTTATTAATGAACAATTTTTTTGCCTGAAAAACTTCGTCTTATCTACTCCAGAGAGGCTTCCCAATGGAAAAAGTCAAAATTTGCAACCCAGACTTCGCAGAGATCAAGAAGACTCAGACACTCTAAGTAGCTGCTGCCCACCTACAGGTGACAATAAGCCTTTAAGTTTTAGGGCTTATTTAGGACACCTGTGTGTCCTTTCTTGATTCAAAATTCCAGGTCCCACACCTACCAAAAGAGCAGTAACTGTGTGGTGTGTCTGGCTTCAGCTTTTTTTGAAAGACAGGAGAGAAGGGGGTGCAGGGGGCAGGGCACTGGACTTAACACACAACTCAACAGTTTCAGACATTTCCTCCAGGAATATACCTTGGCAGTGCTGATTTAGCTGGAAATACAAAGAGCATGAGCTACGCCAGAGAACACAGTGAGATGTATCAGAGGACATTTTTCTTTATAGTGGGGTGGGTCTTTACTGAGAAACTTTCCTCACAAGTTCTTGTAGCACATTGGGACACAGAGTAAATGTATGTGCCTCTTTGTGCTTGGCACTGCTATGAGGCTTTGCATCCTATAAATCTATAAATTGAATTCATCCTGCTTACACTCTTAGTCTTATAAATTGTTAGACTAAGAACAGCTAATGGATGAGTAGGTGATTTATTTTTAAAAGTTGCATACTGCTGCTGGAAACCGAAAGTACATAGACACGGGATGTACCCTTCCTGAAGCCGGGGTCCCAGGTAATGGGGAATTACTTTGTATCCTCCCCTGTCCCCAGGAACATGCTTTATTCAAGTTCTCAAAGGGAACCTACTGTCCAAGAAGAGAAAGATCTGGATTGTGCAGAGATGCACTGCAAAGGAAACCACATGCAAAGAGCGGATGAGGCATCAGTAACAGTGCCAGGTACTACATAATGCAAAAGGATGTATATAACTAATTTATTAGAATAAATTTAAGTCTTAAAAAAAAAAGCATATGCAACAAAAACTCTAAAGGAGAAAACCCTACCTGTCTTACTCCTTCAGAGAAAACCTGACCTCATAAAAAGTAGCTGTCAGAGTAAAATGAAGGAGTTTTGCCACAAATGATGTTACAACAGGAGACTCACTTTGGTATGTGCAGCACTGGTCAGTGCAAATACTGCCAATCTAAAGAGAAAGAGGGGTCTGCCATTTCCCAAAGGTTTCCTCACAGAGGGCAGTGGGACCATGCCACTTAGCTTGAAAGGGATGCTCTTTGAGCTTACTCCCAAGTAAAGTAAAGTAATTTACCTTTTAGAGAGGCGACATGGGATAAAGCTTGTGCATAGGTGGCTGTGTTGAGAAGAGTCCCCGGCAGGCAGGAAGGGAAGAAAGGTCCTGCAGGACCCACTGCACGGCTCAGACTGATGGAGAAAAGAAGACAAATTCCTTACAAAACCAGGACCAGCTGATTCCATTTGTGCATGCACTCAAACACATTGGTGCCTCAGCACACAACGAGATGTGACCCGGGCTGGACAACATCAGTCTCCCAAAGCCACCAGCTCCTCAGCTTCTCCACAGGGAACAGTGGATTGCACAAGAAACACCTCATTTTCTAAAGATGATACCTCTAGGTCAAGGCATAGCAGCAAATCTGAGCGCATGTACACACGTAGGAGGCATTCTTGCCCCATAGACAGGTAGGCAGATGATATCATGTATTACTCTTACCTCTGCTGGATCTCCAGACCCTCTTTTTTATTCCTGGTTTGGTCTGTTGGAGAAGGGGAATTTAAATTCCTCGCAGGAGGTGCCACCTCAGCCATGGTTTCCTTAGAGCCCTCTTGGTCAGAAGCACCCCTCTCTGTTTTTCTCCATTTAGCCCTTCGATTTTGGAACCACACCTGGAACAGGAGAACAATCCTAGGTGAAAACCATGTTTAGCCAAATGTGAAGCAAGGAGATTGTAAATTGTTACTCTAGTGAAATCTGTCATTTACTAGCTTGGCTAAATCTTCCTCTTATTTTGTATCCCCATTGCTATTCTAGTTGAGTCTTAGGATGGCATTTGTATCTGTAATATTTCTGCACCTGGAAAGCAAGCCAGAAATGTCTAAAGACATTCAAAAGTCACAACAAAAATTTAGGGTTAAATACATATCTAAGCACTCCAATGAAAACATATATAAGTCTTTAAATCAGCTGCTGCTAGAATCAGAGAGGTCAGAAGTGAAAAGGTGTGGATCTGGCCATCTTATCCAGCCCATTTTCTGGAGAGGGCTGATACTGGCTGTTCTTCCTCTCATGGCCAGTCTGCTTTCAGAAGACTCAAAAGCAGATAGGTACTAATTTTGGAACATCATCCTGCAGTTTAATAATGTTGTCATGCTACTGCCCCCACCTCAGGCCACACTATGAATTCAGAATAGAACACCAATTTCCAAACATTTTTTTTCCCCCGTATGCAAAACAAGTATTCATAATCTTGATTTTTTTCTGACTATTAGTCTAAAAACTTTTTTTTCTATTAACGTAGGAGCTGGTATGCTGAAAGTACTATGTTTGAGGTGGCAAATGCCAAGCCTCTCTGGAGGTCAGGAAATCCACATTTTAATACATGAATTCAAGTATAGGCGAGATTGTTGTTATTATTATTCTTCTCCTTCTCCAATTCCATTTTAGTTAGCTGCCTTTTAATTGCATGTATCAGCAAACATTGAATAATGATTTTATCTATATTCTAAATTTAGAGCAGTTAAATGCAAAGCAAAATGCAGACACTTTCTTGTGTCTTAATTGAATGAAGGTCACAGCTATAACAATATTTAATTGAGCTATTTTTCATTATCATATTTTAATGACTTTGCACTGACAGTTCGCCTGCTTCTGAGGAAAGAGCATGATGAAGTCGTTTATTTCCCTATTTAGTTATTGTTTGACAACATCATCTTCGATTAAGACTCTGCTTTATAGCACATTAATCATATTTGAATGAGCAAGGGGTATAATGTAAACATATCTCCCATCCTCTGTGTTTCCCCATGTCCCTGCATGAAAGCAGGCTAAACAAATGCTTGCATCTATTGTCTGTTTGCATAATAGCCAACAACAAGGCTAAACACCAGTCCTCAGCAATCTAATTGTCACCACCCCTATCTCACCCTTGCACCTTTCAGGAAGAAGTTATGATCTTCCACTTCTGAATGCTCAATAATTGTCCCATTTATCTCAATTTGCAGTTCAGTCTTTAGGCACCAATAGCCAAAATGGCATTTTTTATTATTTTTTTAAGCCAGTACCTACAATGCAGTGGTAAAAGGAGATTTTCATTTCCAAATAATAATCAGTTTAATTTGCCCGCATATGACCAATGATTCATGTTCAGATTTAATAATCAGGATCACATAATCTGATTATAGGAGAAATAATTTGTTTACAATCCCCAATTTACTGTGGTGAATTCCATTATCTCTCTTCAGCCATTGGGTTTTAAGAGATACTAACATGACCCTAGGGAACAAAAGGCAAGCTATTATATTTCCTACAATTAGATCTTTGCATAGTCTTAACCCCAAGCACCTAAATTTAAAAAAAAATAGAACACCGTGCAGAAAAGCCCCATAAATAAAAATGAATGCATAATCGTGTTCAAAAAATGGTTTGCAACTCTGTTGTGGATGCCTGAAGAGTTACAGGGATACATCCCTGACGACTGCAGGACTGCTTGTCTTAGCAGAGCATGTACACATACATATGGACTGGATATGGAAAAACAAACATGGAAAAAAGAAAAGAAAAAACTAAGGAAAAAGGTAAGGAGAAGGAAGAAAGGAAGGGCTGGAAAAGCATGGTTGTGGACAGAGTTATCATGGCCAATGGTATTTATTGGATCATATTAAAGGTGTGGGAATTGCTCTGCAGGCTCTTTATCTGCCTAAATTAAGTGTTTAGAAAGAAGGCAAAAGGGAGAAAAGTTGGAGAGGTGCAGAAGCTTTCTTCCTGGCAGCTGGGCTCCCTGCAGTTGACTAACCCCACTGCTCGACAGTGGTCATAGTTGCTTTGGAGAATCACGTCTCAGCTCTTTTCTCTGCACCACGCCCCCCCTCCAAAAGCAAGGAAATGGATGTGCATTGATGTAATTTAGTACCTTGGAGACGCAGACAAATTAGTGTAGAACATTATCACTAGTTAATTATGAATGACCGATTAATCAACCTAATCTAATATTCCACATTATGTTGATGTTATTAAAGTGCATCATGAAAATGACAGATCGTCTTCATTTGCGTTCTTTGGCCAAATGTGCACTCTGCAGTCATGATGTCAAATAAAAAAAAAAATTAAAAAAAAGTTTGCCAGTTTGAATATCCGAGTTAAGTAATTCCCCAGGATGCTTACCTGCACCCTGGCCTCCGTGAGGTTGATTTTCAGAGCCAGCTCTTCTCGAGTGAACACATCAGGGTAGTGGGTTTGAGCAAAAACGGCTTCCAGGGCCTCGAGCTGATGGAGGGAAGGAGAGCAGGGATCTATGAGAGGTTCCGTGAGGATCCGGCCGCCCCACGGGGGTGTCTGCCAGGCATGGATGAGGAAAACGGGCCCACCGAGGCAGGGGGCAGGCAGGGTGGGCTGGCATGGCACAGGGCATGCGGGAAGGAGGCCGGGAGCGGGCAGGGAGCAGGCAGGGAGCAGGCAGGGAGCCAGTGCGGTGCAGGCAAGCAGGGGCAGAGGGTGCCGAGGCCGGGGGCAGAGGGAAGCGGGCTCCTACCTGCTGCAAGGTGAAGGTGGTGCGGTTGCGGCGCTGCTTCCTTCGCAGGAACCCGTCGTCGAAGTCGCCGGCGGAGTGACCTCCGAAGGGGGCAGCGCCTGCGGGCCGAGAGCCGCGTTAGGGCCGCAGTGCCCCGGGGACACGGGGCCGGGCACGGAGCCGCTCGGCGGGCAGCGCTGCCCCAGCGCCGCGGGCCCCGGCGGGTTCTGCCGCCCGGAGCTCACCCCGGCCCGGGAATTAACATTTTTTGGGCCATTTGTATTTCAAAGAATAAAGAGACGAGGCTTGGCATAGGCGTGTGGACAGCAGCTGGCAAAGGCCCTGCCCGTCTGCCGGGGGAGCCTGCTGAAGCCCCTGCGCGGCTCCTCTTCACGCACCCGCGGGAGCGGCCGGGCCGGCCCCGGCTGCTCGCCCTGGCTGCCGGAGGAGAACGTGGGCACGGCGCTCGGGGCAGCCCAGCACCGCCACGGCCACAGCTGAACCGCCGGGAGTCGGTAGCGGGGCTGGGGAGGCCGTCCTGCCATTCCCCGAGCGGCCTTCGAGGGCCCGACGGGGGCACCGGGGGTTTGCCCCTAGAGCGGGGGTCGGGAGAGGGCAGATGGGCCACCAGGATGTGAATCATGTCCCATGGAGCAGACCCCGGCCCTGTGGTTCCCCCCGTCACACGTCATCCGTGCAAGCCCGTGTTGAAAAGTGTTGCTCCCTTTCTGTTCGCTAAAAAAACACAAACAAAACAAAACAGACCAAAAAACCATTCAAAACTTAAACCAAAGCAAAAAATAAAACCAAAGAAACTAACCCCAAACCAAAAAAAGAAAACAAAAAGAACTCCAAACCAAAACCCACAGACGAGCAAACAAAACCAAACCAAAATAAACCCTCACAGAACAGAAAAACACCAGAACCCCCAGAAGTGTTGCTGAGTGTCCCTGTGACCCCACTTGCAGAGCTGCCCCTGGAGTGCTCTGGGGTACGTGGGCTGGAGGTCACCGCTCATCTTGCAGCATCGTTTGGAAGATAAACACGGCTCCGAGCCCTCTCCTCGCACAGACCTCACACCGTGTGGGCCTGGGAGAGGCTCATCAGAGAACAAAATACTGTCCCGGGGACCTCCAGAAAGCGATCTCTTCCCTGCGGCATCGGGCCTCCCGCTGCCCAAGCGCTGGCCGAGCAGAGCTTTTCTGTTCCCCCTTCTTTGGTTTGGTGATGGGTGGATAGGGGGGTTTGGACGGAGTTACATATTTTTTATTTTTTTACTTGTGATGCCCAACGCTGTTTTCACCCTTTGGCAGGACAGATCGCCCCTTTCCCCCGGCCCGCTGCTGCCCAAGCCGGGAGAGCGAGGGGCCGGCCCCGGCCAGCGCCGGGAGAGGCGGCAGCCTGCGGGGCCGCTCCCAGCCTCGGGCTGCCAAACACAGGCACCGGCCCCACGCTGCCACGGGAGAAACAAACGCACAGCAAGCAAACAAACAAACAAACAAAAACAAGAACACGTTTCCAAAGCTGTCTGCCAAAAACAAGCAAACAAAGCCGCCTCAGAGTTCGGTGGCTCTGGCGGAGGGACCCTCTCACTGTCCTGCCCAGTCCGCTTCCCCTGTCCCGCCCGGAGAAAACTTTGGGGAGTGAATATTCCAGCCGGGATGCACAGACCGGCTTGGTCCGCTGCCCCTGGGAAGCCGTGCTTAAAGAGGGGCTGACCCTCCCCGAAGTGGGATGAAACCGCTGGACCACATCTTCCTGCCAGCGCGGCCGCAGGGAAAGCCCCTTCCCGCCGGGGGATGCCCGTGCCGGGAGCGGGGTGTCCTGCCCGGGGGATTTTACGGGGCCGGGTCGCTTTCCCCGCCGTGCAGCCGCAGGGAGCCGGCAGCGCTCGGGCACGGCGGGACAGCCCCGCCGGGGGCTGCGCGGCCGCGGCCCCGGGGATGCTCCGCGCACTGCGAGCAGCGGCCGGAGGGAGCGGGGCAGAGGGGCCCGGGCGACTGCGGGGGTGACACAGGGAAATCTTGAAGGCTGCCAATTTTTAGAAAGGAAATCGACAACAACAACAACAATAATAAAAATTTAAAAGTCTCTAACCAATAGTACAAAGAAAAATCGTCCTCCCAAATATTTATTTTCCCCCGGTTTTTTTCCTTCTGTTGTACCTCATTTTTCCCCATCCTCCCACAGAATGTTTGCAAAATAGCATTAAAGATTTATGCGGTCCCTTTGGCTGGAGGGAGGAGGCGTGACCACGTCCTGAAAGTGTCCCGATTACAGCCATGACACCAACATCTGTGCTGGGAGGGGAGAAAAGCATCTCTCTCTTAGCCTGAGGCTCAACTGCGGGATCGCTATCCACAGAGGGGAGGCAGGTGGCAAAATGACGGGGGTGGGGGTGTAAAACCAAGCCCTCTCCAGCAGGAATCAAATTAGGGGGAAAAAAAAAAAAAAAAAGTCATGCAATCCTTCTTTCCTTCCTGTGACAAGAGGGGAAAGCTAGGAGGGGGGAGGGGGAGAGGGTTGTATTTTTTTAAGGAAAAGGGTGCTATTTAGTTGTCTCCCTATCAATTTGCATCTTATCCCAGCACGCATTTGTACGCGACAGTCGCGGCGCAAGTTCGGTCACAGTTTCTCCTTCGGTCCCCAGCGCACCCCCCCGCCCACAGACACCTCGAAGTTCGGCTCTTGTACTTACACATCTCTGTGCGACAACACTCACCCTCTAGCTGCGGGGGGCAGTGGAAGTAGAACATGGCCCTGCGGCTGTGCGGGCGCCCGCTGCTCGCAGCTGCGAGCCCGACGGCGGCCGGCACCGGGGCCAGCCCGCGGGGCTCCCGCGCACCCCCCGCACCGACGGACCCGCACCGGCTCCCGCGTCGGGCACCGCGACGCACCGCCGAGGTGCCTCCTGCAGATCTGAGCACACAGAGGGAAAGAACAGAATAGGTGAAGAGCCAGAAGAAAACACCTGAAGAGACCCATTGATAACCCTAAAGCCCATCTCAGAGGAAAAAGAGAAAGTAGCGTCTGACCCTGTGCAACGAATTAAAAAAGCCAAAGGCAGAAAAGTCCGTGGTAGGCTACAGTAATCAGAATCAGCAAAACTTTGTTGGTTTGGTTTTATTTTCTGCCCGGAATAGCAGATTGTGCCTCTCTTGTTTTTCTATCCATCCATCAATCTCTATATCTATCCATCCATCCATCCATCCACCTCTATATCCATCTATCTATCTATCTATCTATCTATCTATCTATCTACCTATCATCCATCTATCTATCTATCTATCTATCTATCTATCTATCTATCTCAAATATTCCTTTATGGAGCAAATAGTTACATAAAGAAAAAAAAATGTTTGTAGGTAAGATCGAACTGCTTAAAAGAAAATCTAAATTATTCTGCCAAAATGAAACAGCAATAAAGCCTAAAAGCTGCCTTCTTTTTAAAGCATCCAACACACTGGGAGCCAATGTCCTCAGCAAGGAAAAAATCCCAAGCAATAACTCAAATTTATATGCAGTCATACTAAAAACAAAAAAAAAACAAACAAAAAAATCCAGAAGGTACATGAATATAGTAATCCATACCTAAACCGAACAGAAGTAAAAATCACCGGTAAGGTTTGGGGGTGTTTTGCTTTAGAATAAGGCGCTGTGAGTTGTTGGCTGCAGAGACAGAAGGGCTCTGTGGAGTTCTGGAAGTGGCCAGATGTCTTTATATCTGTCTACAGCATGCTCTGCCTCTCAGCACTTGCCTTTATAATCTCACGCATAATTGGCCTTAATCTGATTATTTCCAGCGCTGTCTACAGTGAGTAACTTGGATAGGTCTATTGGGCCCTACAAATGGCCCACGTGGTGTGCAGAGCAGGGGGGGTGGAGAGGATGAAAAGAAAAAAACCGTAATTTCTCAGCAAACGCCAGGAATGTGAACGGCAGCAACACAATCCCATTATTTTCCGAGCGCTGGCGCTCCGGGGCTCGCAGCCCCCTGCGTGTCCCCCCCGCCCCGGGGTGCCCCGGGGTGCGGGCCGGGGGGGCCCCGCCGCACCGAGCGCTGCCGGTAATTGCCGCCGGATGGGTTTTGGGGGGCCGCTCTGCACACGCCTCGCCTTTCCAAGCGATCGTACCACGGCAAAGTTTGATTTTGTTCGCAGCGAGGGGTCTCTGGATTTATGCTCGCTTCCCGTCTGCAAATGATATGCGGCGGGACCCTTCGCAATTACTTTTAAAATGCATCCGAGACATAGGCTCAGCGGAGAGAGATGGCCCTTGCCTCAGCCCGGGTGAAAATTAGACTTTAAAGTACCCAGATGAAATTTTCAAGTCAGGGACGCGGGATTGGATCAAATCACATAAACTGCAAAAAAAGCAAGTATAATGGCGCATAATTGGTTCTGTAATAGCATTACACAAGGATAATAGCCTGTTATGGCCCCCTGCACATTAAGTGCTTCCCTGGCGTAAAGCCTTTATGATATTAAAGGGGGAATATAATGATATTTTGGTTATTAAATGCGTGTAATTAATTTATGCACCACTGAAAATAAAGTTGGTATTATGACCCACTCAAGATGCATCAGAAGATGTAAGTCAGACAACTGTTGATAAGTTCTGGTGTCTATGTTTCGTCTAGACTGCTGATTTTATTTTGGAACAATTGCTTCTCCGGCAGACTACACAAATTTAATATTTTATAAAGATTGTAATGTTCTGTGCAGGAAGGGCGAGCAAATCTACACAGGCTCTCTTAGATCTGATGGGAGTTTAAAGACAGCACATTCATACCAGAGCAAAGGAGATGGATACAGGCAATACAGGTGCAGAAATAGTGATATTGAAGAGATGATGTCTTTGGAAAGTTGATTCTGTACATACGATCTCATTAAATAAACACTAATAAGCCTTAGAAATATCACCTGCTCTGTCTTTTACATTAGGCATAGATGTGGAAATTCCCCTAATGTATATTCAAGCTGGAGTTATGTATGCTTCCATCCTGTGAAGCATTAATTTAGCAAAGCAAGGCAAAAATTAATTTTGAGATACAAATCTGATTTGATCTGATCCTATCTTATCCATTCACTTATAATTTTAGCATAGTAGTAACAGATGTAGAAGGCTGTCTTCAGGTGTTTTTTATATGTTTACCTGTCTACACACACACTTTTAGGAATATCTTTGTTTGACAACAGACATTTGCTCACCATCCAGGCAAATCTCTGAGCAGTGAAGTATACTACAAATTGAGATGGCTTTTACAGCACCATGCAAGATCAAAGACCAATGCTCTGAATCTGACTGCACTTGACAAAATAGCAGCACAAGCTTTAGGTCAAGTCGCCTTAAAAAAGAAGGCCATAACCTAGAGGTGCTGCCTGCATCTCTCCTGACAGTCTCCCCCTCTTGAGCTTTAAAATCCACACAGGGCCAGTACTGTAGGATCCCTTTGCACAGAGGCAGATATTCCTTTTCCTTTTTCTCTGACGTTGGGAAGAGATGAGTGAGATAGTGTTTTATCATAAGAACCCCTAATAAAATAATTATAACTTCATTATGGTGCTCTCAGGCCTTGCTCTAGTCAGGGGGCTGCATTGCTGTTTTGGCTCCAAGACTCACTTTCCCCAGCAGTTTGAAGCCTGCAAGTTCAGCGTATTACAGGAGGGGGAGAAGGCAGAATGGAGCACGGGGAAGTGCTCCAAGTCGCTGCTTTTTAAATAGAAGCAAAAGAACCCTGAGCCGGTCGAGACTCAACTTTCTCCCAAGGACCAGTAGCTGCAAAACAAGGAGATAACTAAGCAATATATAATCCACCACCCCTCGCCAGCTCGACGTCTGTTTAATTTTAATGCTAGAAACGCGGGGCTGACATAATTAAAAGTTAGCGCTGGGGAGTCCTGGGTGCTGCTCTCGGCGGACGGAGCCCCGGGGCGGCGGCGCTTCAGCACCACGGAGAGCGCCCGCAGCTCCGGCCCCGCTCCGCGCCCCGGCCCCGGCCCCGGCCCGCCCGGTCCCCCCCGGGGAACGGCTGCGGGCAGAGCGGCTCCGGCCTCCCTCCGTGTCCCCCTGCTGCAGACGCTTTCCTGCCAGTCTGGGACTACAGTGGAGAAAATATGCAGTAAGTTGTTAGGGATCATGACTAGTATTTCTCTGATAGTTGCTCTGATCTAGCTACCAAAGCACTAAAAACAAGAATGAAATAACGTACAGAGCTGCAATATTTCAGGGGAAAAAATGTAATGTTCTTAAAGTCTCCCTCATAAACTTAATTTTCATTACTATTATTATTAATGTTGTTATTACTGTGACTATTGTGACATCAATATTAGTTACTAGGTCTGCAAGAAAAAGTCCAAATAAGTATAATTCAGGATAGACACTTTGCTGATCGTGTCTGTCTTAGCGCAGAACTGTTCCTGTGCTGCACACACAAACACCTTTTCTTATATTTCACCCATGAAAACAAAACCTAGGGCTGAACTGCTGAGCAAAATCACTGAATGGATGTTTTCCTTGGAAACACTGAGCTTTGAGGGGATCATTCGAAAAACTCAAGGAACAACCCAGTTGGATGAAATGGCCCTCTTGCCCCTCCATGTCCAAATGCTTCCTTTCCCGTGATTCTCAATACCTGACCACAGAAAAAGGCTAGCAGCTAAAAGGTTATTTTACCCTAATTCATGTGCAGTAAAATGTATTTTCCAATTAACCAAATTTGCCGATTTGTCCCGCTTGGACACTCTTATAATTTATAATGTAAAAGTGTTCTTTCTTTATCTAAAGACCAAGGTGACTGCTTTTAATTTTCTGTAACCTCTTTACACTTGATGTTCACCAGACTCATAATGTTAATTGGCTTCATATACGGATCATCAGTTTAATGAAGGAATAAATCCTATGTTGCTTTATGTCCCTCTGTTTTAACAATGATTGCTTTAATGAAGAATGTGACGTGTTTGAAATCAAAGCTGCAGGAGACATTAGAGGTTTTTTTTTTAATGATGACTGAATTGCTTATTTAAAGCTAAAACCATGAGGTTTTCATATTTCAAAAGCTTTTCTTCAAATAATTTTATATGGAAAATACTGACACATTCCTCATCAGAGAACTCTTTCTTTGCAATTACAGGCAGGGACTGAGAATAGCAGAGTCCTGTAATATAAACACCCCAATTAGGTTATGAAATTATCTCTAGGCTTTTATATCACTGCAGTTTTCATTCAGAGTTTAAGTAAAACTCCCATTGAGTTATAAGTAGTTATGCTAGCCTAAAAAAGGAGTATTTGGGGGTAATTAATAAACGTCTTTGTCAACCGACTGTATTTCCACTGTTCATGGGTAGATGAAGAAATTTACAGGGGAGAAAGGATTGTCAGTTCATACACAAAAGCTCTAGATTGCTATAGTCTATTTTTCCCCATGGAAATTTTAGGATTTCAGGAGCAAGGGGAAAATGTAATGAAACATGGACTCATAGAGGTAAGGTGACTGCAAATCAGAGCATCAATTAGGTCAAGCTGGAAAGCAGCAATTAGACCCAACTGCATGTGCTAGTTACAGTAGCTACAACAGGTTTAACATGCGCAAAGAAATGAATTCTGGTAATTGAACTTCTACATTCCTGGTCCCATTTATAGTAAGCTTTCCTTCTCTCTCTTCCTTCTGCCTTTAATGGAGACTTCATATACTGGTATGCATATACTGGTATATATTTTCTTCTAATTTGAGAGTTGTTGTTAACAGAAATTACATGACCATTAGATAAAGGAACATGCAACATCAGAGAGGAAGGTCTCTAATCAGAACCTAGACAAGGGCTAAGCAATCAATTGAATTGGATAGAAATTTCATGACATGGCAAAGGAAGTGCATGAGACTGAAAGGGATATTAGCTTAAATTACATACCACCGAGAAGTTACTCAGTATGCCAGGCCTGATCCCATGATTTCTTGTCTTGTTTATATCCTGGCAGTGTTATACTCATTCAATCCAGGTCGCAAAAAGCTTCATGTATGTACACACAGACCTTCATCACTGCCCTCCACATAGTTCTCTTAGTGCTGTAAGTTTCCCTTCAGAGCTGGCCAGGACCCTATGAACAGCCCATCATTCACTCCTGCCTTCCCTCTCAATGCAAAACAAGAAGGAACCTTGTGGCACCTCTAGTGGCACACAAGATTAGTCTGCCAGGGGCCTTCCTCAGTATCCACCACTCTCTGCCTGGAGCTGTGCCTTTACCAAACCTGTGAGCACAGGCAGGGTCTATGCCAGGATGAGGCAAAACAACACTGGTTTTCAGGGACATTATCTGGGTTTTTAGTGAAGATATCATACAAAGTGCTTCTTCTCAGATAAAACAAGTCTTCTAACCAAGAGTTGTGAATAAAGATTTCCAAGGGAAAGTCTTTCAGTCTATGGCTTTTGAGGACACAGTTGCTTGGCCACAAACACTGACTCAGCACATTTAGCCGAAAATATGATGCAGATGAAGAGTTGATTACAATGCGGATCACAGTAGAAAGTGTACACAGATTTTTAAATACACACACCAGTTTTGTGCTGCCTGACACATGTAACCTGATGATTAATCAAGCAAGGTTTCTGTGAGCAGATCTGAACCACCATACTGGGGTTTATGCTGCTTTGTGTCACAAGGCCTGAATTTACAGCATCACCAAAACGTGGTTTCAGTTAAAGTTTAGTGACTTCTCAGTATCAGGTCATTTTCTCAGGGAAAATCTGCAGCTTCTGTTTTCCAGATAAGGCAATCCATTATTGCTCTGAGTAAGGGCAGTTAGTATATGCAAGAATCTAAAGCTGCACAGATTCTGTAACAACAGAAAGCTAGCAGTTCCCCCTTATTCTGTGAATGGCTTCTAGCAATAAACCCAATAGGAAGAAATAAAACTTTTTACTAGCTGCTTTAATGCACAATTGTCTCATTCACCAAAGGTAAGGCAAATTCACACCTACTAACGACTCTCCTTGGAGGTGAGCGGCACTCCAGGCCAGCACAGAAGTGGCCTAGGTGCGACATACTTTTGCACAAAGCCATTGAAATGCACCCTCTGGCTGTGGCAATGCTCTCGCATTAGCCCAAGCACTCCATCTCTCACTCTTTCTGGGAAAGTTGCACCATCCTTGGGGCTGAACCAGGAGTGAAGCTGCCTCTGAACATGTGCACGTGGGGGTACATAAGAATGAACCCACGTGTGTACACGCATTTGCATGTGCAATCTAAAAGGGACTGGGGATAGTTTGGAGGGTTTGGTATCTGTAGGAAAGACCTGGAATTTACCATAGACACCCAGTCACCCCTCTTTCCTGGAGACAAGCTCCAGGACTATGAATAAGTACTATCCTCCACGGCTCTTTCAAATAATTGTCCCATTTCCTATACGAAGAACAGGAACCATAGTAATTACCCTTGGCAGTCTGAAAGAAACACCGAGCATTCCTAGAAGATTGCCTCATACCGAACAGCATTTTCAAGCCTGCAGAGTGGATAGAAGAGAGCTTACAGCACCGCTGTGCTCCAGCTTCCTCAGGGCAGACATATAGAAGTTTTCTCTTCTTCCCCAGCTCACCCCATCCCTGCGCCCACCCCCCAGAAAAAAGGAAACCACCTCAGATCAATTTCCCCCAGCCCATCCTTTCTGCCTTACCTGTTCCAGGACACCCCCAGCAGATCCTTTCCCCCGCTTCAGTGTCAAGGAGCACCTGCCCATCATCTAGACCTTGTGAAAGGAGCACCACAGAAATCCCTTAAAACAAACATTTCTACAATCAGGAGACCACTCCTGTAAATTTGTGCTCTTTACCACAACACACTGAGACCCCACTGCCATGTTGGCTTAGTGCTCTCCCCACCTTAAGGAGCAGAGTGTGACTGCACATACCTCACAAGCCTGGACCACTTTAGTTCCAAATTTGGACCAAATGCTTTGTCATGGGGCTGAGTGTAACCCTTCAGCTCTACCATGAGTAGGATTTTCTTCTTATTTTGAAATTTGTAAATGTTTCAGTTAATGAATGAGAAGAAAATTCACCTTTATTTTAAAGCAAAACAAAACAAAAAAAAGGCAACAAAAAGAAAGAGCCTACTTGTGCTTAATTGTTATTCTAATTACAAGTTGTGGTGTAGTGTAAATTTTTTCCCTTGGCATTATTATGAACCTCATTTCCTTACAAAGTCCAGGATAAACAATTCCAATATATTTTGTTTTAATTATCAGGGTTTAATGGGGCATAATAAGACTAAGTTGAGTGGTGCAGAAAAAAAATAATTTAATGTGTGCAAAACTACCTAGTGCTCCTACCTTGCCTGTGCATATTTCACCTATTGTAGGGCAGCACTATGTTAGCTAATATTCAGTGTGCCCATCATTTATTTATTAATCATACCTGCTTTTCAGTAGAAATTTTTTTTCCTGGCATCTGAAACAAGAAGAAACATATTATGACATCCTAGAAAAACAATGGGCAGTTCTCTGGGTTGAGCAGTGAAGGATGAAGCTGATATACAGCTAATGGTGCTGGAAGCATTTGTCATGCATGGACAGAAGATGCAATGTTGGACACAGATCCTGCCTCTGCCAATCCACTCCAAATGCTGTCAGTAAAAACTTCTGGCTTCAGTTCTTAGGGCCTCTACCACAAGAAGCAAAAATAAAACATCAGATGAAGTCACCATTCAGAAACAACCTGGTCCAGACCCTCACTGAAGATGCATCTTTCCCCTCCCAAGGTGTAGTTCCTACAGAGTTAAAACAGGTAGGTACTTCTGCTGGGAAAAGGGAAAGAGCAGCCTGGGAAATAAAACAGTTAAAGGGAGATCCTTTATGGCTCTCTATGCTTCCCAAGGTGCCTTTAGCAATGGCACTGAATCCCATGGCTGGGTGTGGCTGGTGCAGCACTTAGAACCACCCTGCTACCAGATTTACATTCCACTGTGCCAGGGCAACCACATACCAAGACTGAAACACTTTCACTTGAGGAATAACTACTGGATCCTCCCTGAAGGGAAACATGTCTATCCTCCTTATCTGTTCTACTCTTTGGCACAGAGGACTTGATACAGTACCCACTGAAGCCATTGGGAATGTCCTCTCTTCTGGAAAATTATTTGATTCATGACTCTAGGAAAGGTTCAAATACAACATACAAACCATACCAATGTTACATTACATTTATTTAAAAATTTGCATTTTATATTACAGATTAATTTAATATACCCCAAGTGTTTAGGTTTTAAATTAAATAAATTTATAATACACATCAGTATTTACAGAAAGAAAAACATTACTTTTGTTTTTTTTAAGTCTCATTGGAGTAAAAAAATTCTCCGTGAAGATTCTAGCCATGGGAGATGCCACATTCTGTGAGAGGTCAGCCTCCTTCAAGGGTTAATGGAAACAAGAAACCACCCAGGCTTAAGATACACCTCAATGAATTGACTGAGGAACAGCAATGAGCTGGTTACCTGCAGGAAAATGTAGCAAGACTGAAAGATCTCAAGGGGCCCCATCCAAGCCTGGGCCCTCTATTCCTCAAAGAAGGCAGGGAATCAGCAGGTACACTGTGCATTCTACCAAAGCTCACCCCAGACACCAGACCAGGCCAGTATCTAGGACATTCTCATGGACTTCCAAAGCTTCATGGTTTTCTTTCCTCTTCCTAAACTACGAGGATTCTGACCCAAGCTTAGGATCCCACAGTACAACAAATACACAGAGGCAGTCTCTAGTGCCACACACCCTGAGAGCCATCATAGGGACAGGCACTGCCTCATCTTACAGAGTTGCAGCCCTGAGTAAGAAGCCAAGTATGATTCCCAGACAAATACTGACCCATGGGCTCCGTCAGACTGGCTAGCAAGTCCCATGGGGACTTATGAGGAGTTCTCTGCATTTGGTAGAGCTGCATAAAGCTCAGGGGAAGAAGTTAATTTCCTGGTAATGCATGATCTGCAAGTCGTAGAAACCTCTGAAATTAGCTCTGGGCAAATACCTACCCTGAAAGCTCAAAAAGTAGGACTGCACACCCCCACTGGATTGTGCATCCAAAACTGATTAGGGCTGTGCTACTGACACCTGCATCCCATCCTGGATGGAGGCAGGATGCCATGTCTGTTAAATCACTAGAAATTCTGAGCCTTGGTATACAGAACAAGACCTTAATTTGAACAGTCAACTTAATGTGCTTCCACTCCTTCAGATAGCAAGTTCCTGATTTTAATGCTTTCCTTGGTGAACAGGCACTCAAAGAACTCTCCATGGAGGTCTTGAAGTCCACAGCTCTTCACAAGCCAATCACCTTTCCACAGCCATGGTGAGAGGAGAAGGATTGAAGCACAGACCAGTTTCTGTCTCTCCTGCCCTGTAAACTGAAATGCCATCTCCTTTAGTATCTTCAGTGGCAAATGGGGAACTGAATCCAGGTGCACACAAATGCAGAGAAAAAAAGAAGTCTTGCTAATGACAACCACACCTTGTTGCCACCATGTCTTTATAATTTTTAAGGACGACATTCTGTTTGTCATCAAAGTAGAGAAGATTGAGGGACTTCAATTCATCTGGCACACAGCAGGGCATGCTGACATCTTGAGACAATTTCAGTGTATAAACAATGGACTGAACTGTAGCATGGTTTGTTGCATTTAGACTTTCCCCCAAAGGGAAGATGCAGGATCCTCTGCAATAAAATGCATTGTATCCACTTGGGTGAATAATCCATCCTGACCAGCCAATAGCATGGAAGTCCACATAGAGCTCCCTTCTGTGACATGCTGCCAACGGGCTCCTGGCAGCAGGGGCTGCAGCAGCTCGGGGTCTCCTGCTCATGCTGGCACTGCTGCTTTCCATTACAGCAGTGTCACGAGAAACCCGCGGAGCATCGGATTTGGCAGGGTGGTTTGTTTCTGATTCTGAAAGGAAGCTGTATGTTAATATTTCACAAACAAAGTTCATTTACAAAGTACAGTATTCTGTGTGTAAGTCTATTAATTAAATCTATATCAAAGTCTTCAGAGCAGATTTTAAAACAGCACCTAACCTGTGAATGTACCAGAAGGGGTGTGTATTCAATTGCCACTTCAGCCATACTTCCTAATCTGTCAAATCTTGTGTCTTGGAAAAGCCCCAATTCAGCAGAAATAGAAAAAACTCACAATGATCTACCAAATATTCTGAACTCCACAGTTCCTCTTCAGGGCTGAATCTAGTCAGAATGGTATTAACTGTCTTCATACAGCCACTCCTACAACACACATTATTCTGGGCAGTGCTAACAGAGGGTGGAGATCACAGCCTTTTTCTCTCCAGTATCCTCCCAGGAACTATACCCATATACTTGCAAAGCAGAATGTGCAAAAACCTGGTAATGTGCAAAGTCACATTGTAAAAAAAAAAATACATTTTTCAAATTTTTGATCCTAAAAAAAAACACCACCAGCTTTACTGAACACTAAGGAATTAATTGTACTGACAATAGGATGCTTTCTTAAAGAACCTTCTGAGAAGCCCTGGGATCCATGGAGATCCATGTACACAAGCTGGAATTCACTGATATGCAGAACAACCTGCGTGATCAATGACAACTAACAACGAGCAGGTCTAGAGAGTTTCTTCGTTAAAGAATCTCTCAATCCTGACACAGTGCAGAGCTTGATGCTCATTAAACTAGATCTAGGATTTCACTATTAATTTTTATTTGGAAAACAAAAATAAACAAACCAGCCTAATTTTTAATTTTTATATTTTATTTCTAAATAATTTCACCACCTACTTCTTAATATTGTCCTACCTAGCTTCTAATATGCAAGTACAACCGTTTACCAGAAAAGCCTGGAAAGCCAAAACAGCATGATTTTTGCCCCTCCTTCAAGCTCTTTGCATTTATCAGGCCCTAAAATCCAGCCTTAGCTGATTTTACACTAAGGCCAGTGGGAGAGGTAAGACGCTGTTTTGTATTTTAAGGGACTAGGGCGTTGTCTTTGATGAAAGCAGCTTTTAGTCACAATGCTAATTAGTCACTGAAGTTAAAAAGGTGCTTAAAAACCAAGGACAGAGAAGTTCAAATTGCTTGTTTTACAACCTCTTTCACTCTTAAAATCACACTTAATGACTCTACTTACAGATACTTTACCAGAATTTTGACAAAGCATTCCAGGTCACTGAGTTTTTTTTCAGTATAAACCTAACATACAATTTTCATGCAAATTTCACCACCACAAAAATAATATTAGCAGTACTTAAATAATAGAACTCCCACCCCTTTACAAACGAAATAAACCCGATTCTCCTTAGGATTAATGAATATTTCTGGCACACACAGTTTTTGTGAAGGGAGGGGCAATTTAGGATGCTGGTGACCTACTAGAAAGGACTATCAAATCAAATTTGTATCAGTGACAAAGCAAAACTTCAAACCTGTTCAATACTGCAATAAACTAAATAAATAACTGAGGTTAGGTCTACCTGAGGTAGCAGGAGGCGACAGACGATGAACAGGCAATTCATACTCTAAAAGTGCACTTACTTGTAGCAGAGGGTACAAAGCTGTGAGACCTCCGTTTGTTGCTGTTCGTGAAGAGAACAAGGAGAGCATTTCTGCTCTCCTGCAAAGCGCTCTGGCTCTTGGCAAATGTAACCACGTCGTGTTTCATTCCATTGCTGGAAACATGTGTCGCAGTTATCCAAAAGCCATGGTTGGAGCTGCTGTTTCCAACCCACTTGGAAACCTGGTGAAGATCGGGAAAAGAAAAAATATTGTTTCAATATTCTAATTACAGCATTGTAATTAAGCAATGTTTATAATAAGTTTATATTAGGAAAAGAGAATAGGCAACAAGCTATGAGAGCATAAGGACATATATTATAATAGAAGTGAGATAACTGTATAGCTGAGACTCCATTGACTTGAATATTTAAACAAGTAATTCAACACTTAAAATACAAAATAGCATATGCATTCCCCAAAGCTACATTTACATAAAGATAATTAATTTCAGAGAATTTACCAGTGAACACTTGAGTGTACACTCAACACTTTTTAATATTAAAATAAACTCTCTCTGACTTTCAGCAGGAATTTATTTTTCATAGCAATCTGAACACAGTAATATGAACTCCCCAGTTTTCATACTGTTAAGACTTATGTGAACCTAAAAAACATGGCATTTGAAGAAATTCACAATCAAGCAAATTTACTTATCAAATTGTTATAATTGCACATTGATCGATTAGGCCAGGTCATTCTCTAGCAGGAATATCATGCCTTAAGATGGAACTCAACCAATCATCCAAGCACACTGCTCAGCCTGATCATAAAGCTTAGGCAATGAAAAACACTGTCCCAGAGTACAGCTTTAATCCACGTGTGGGTTCTTTTGCTGTGGAAAGGCATTCACCTACTGTTACAATTTATGGATAGCTACAAAGCAGATCTTGAAGCTCACAGATACAGAAGTCTATGGGGGAAGTTGAATGACAGGCAATCCAACCATGACAAACTCCGGAAACACAATGTTGAAGCAATACTGCTCTAAAGAAATGCTGCCAGAATAAAAAGGAGAAATTAAAACCTACTCTTAGAAGGCAACCAATGCCAGTTGCTTTGGCAGTCTAAAGACTAACACAAGGTTTTAATCAGTACTTGGCCTGACGTCCCTTAATCGGCTAGGTTTGGGTTACTCAGTTCTCACCATGCTTGTGCTCCAAGCAGCTCATAAACACTTCTTTATTTCAGGTAGCACTGGGTGTACTTTTAAGGGTAGAGAGAAAGCTTCTCCCTCTGCTGCTGTCCTTCTGTTTGAACTGACCTCAAAACCCAGCTTAATGGCAATGGTGGAGTTATGTCATTTCAAGAGTTTAAGAAAAAAAAATAAGTCAGACTTCTCTGCTTACTGTCTGTGTGACGTTGAAGACTTCCCAGCCTTCTGTGTAGAGGGACAATAATCTCGATGCAATGAGATGCTTTTTCTGTGGCTTATTTTCACTCTCCAAGAGCTCATACACTTCCACCTAAATAACAGCAATATACAAAAAGAACAAGAAGAAATTAATTTGATTGTTCTTAAAGCAAACTAGGAGGATGAAGATTATGCAAGTTCCTGCTACATCACAGCTGTAAAACTGTACTGTCATTCTAAGAGAGGCAAAAAGTAGATTTGGGACCGTTTAACAGAAAACCAGTTATCTCTACATACATCTACTTCTAAATGTGTTCAGAGGCAGGATACCAGATATAGATACTATAGAAAATTATCCATCCCTATCCTGTTTTGAACATCTGACACCGTCAAAGTCTTCTGTTCCTCCTCATACTTGTCTTCAGGTCTGCAAAAAGTCCAATCCTGCCCTTTGCCAGAGGAATAGATACACTCAATTTCCTTACCCCCCTTGTTTTCCCATGAATCCCTGTCTCTTATTACTATTTTTCGGAGCAGCTCCAGCAGATAAATTTCAATTCGAATTTCGAAATATTTCAAATCCCAGAAAAATAATTTGGGATAGGTCTGACATTGGTATCTTTAGGGAAAGCTCACTGCCATACCACACAGGTCAGCATAAAGGCAAAGTCAAAACTTTACATTACTTCTTTGCATGCTGGAAGCAAAGGGACAGTGAGGATGACAAAAATAACAACAAAGCAGGTTTGTGTGACACGTAGTTGCACTCCTTATTTTCGGTATTAATAATAAAGATAGCAGAATTAGGTGTTTAAATATTTCCCCACTTACTTTGCAGAAGTGTTGCGTGTCGGACCTTCTGGACCGATGCGCCCTCTTAAGCTTGAAGACCCTGAACTCGGCTTTCAGCATCTGCTCGCTCTTCTCCATCGCGCTGATGTCGAAGTAGAAGTGGTGGTGGTCCACGTGAACTGGAAAAGACCCTTCTTTAGGAACACTGCCAGACCCCTCGGGCCTGCCCCCGCCCGCCGCGGGGATTCACCGGGGCTCGGCCCCGCCGCCCGGGCCCACCTCGGTCCTCGAAGCTGCGCACCACGTCCCCCTGCAGCAGCCCCGGGGCGCGGGTGATGCCGTTGGCGTCGGCCACCTTGTTGAAGAGATCCACCATGAACTGGGGCGGCTTCTTGCGGGGCAGCACGTCGGGCGGCAGCTCCTCGATGTCGAAGACCTCCCGCAGGCGCTGCAAGGCCGCGGCCAGCACGGCGTCCCGCGGGTCGGGGCGCAGGGGCAGGGCTCCGGCCGCCCGCAGGCTCAGCAGCCCGGCCAGGCACAGCCACAGGCACGGCGGGCGGGTCGCCATGGACGGCGGCGCGGGCTCGGCCGGGCCGCCCCGCGGCCGTGACCGCGCTGCGTGAGGGGGCAGCGGCCCTGCGGCGGGCCCGGCCCGGCCCGGCTGGGCGCGGCCAGGCGGGGGAGCCGAGCGCCGCTCAGGGCACGCAGCCCCGAGGGCCAAAGGCCCCGGGCAGGGGCGGCCGCTCCGCGCCCGGGCCATCAGCGGCGCTTAAGGGTTCAATGGGGCAGCGCCGTGCGCTCGATGGCATCGGAACGGCCGCCCCGGGGACAGGGCCAGGTGTCAGCGAAGAACAGAACACCGCACTTGCGAAACCCCTAGCCTTTCAATCGACCATCTTTTTTTTTTTTTTTTTTTTTTTTTTAGCTGAAAAAGACTATGATTTGGAGATTGCTGAGCTCAGGTGATGTTTCCTGTCGTTGCCGTAGCAATAAAAAGTATACTGGGAGCTAGGCGTGAGCTTCTGTACTTCCCTGCCTCCGGAATGCCCGGGATCCCCAGCCCCTTCCCGTCCCACAGCCTGCGGAATGCCCGGGATCCCCGGCTCCTTCCCGTCCCACAGCCTGAGGAATGCCCGGGATCCCCGGCCCCTTCCCGTCCCACAGCCTGCGGAATGCCCGGGATCCCGGCCCCTTCCCGTCCCGCAGCCTGCGGAATGCCCGGGATCCCGGCCCCTTCCCGTCCCGCAGCCTGCGGAATGCCCGGGATCCCCGACCCCTTCCCGTCCCGCAGCCTGCGGAATGCCCGGGATCCCGACCCCTTCCCGTCCCGCAGCCTGCGGAATGCCCGGGATCCCCGGCCCCTTCCCGTCCCACAGCGTGCGGAATGCCCGGGATCCCGGCCCCTTCCCGTCCCACAGCCTGCAGAATCGCCGCTGGTGCGGCCCTGGTGCCTTGGCCGGGCTGCGGGACGGAGGCTGCAGCTCCCCAGGCTCAAACTCCGGCCCTACAGCTGCCCGGGGGGAGGAGGTTTTAAGGACAGAGTCCGGGGTTCTGCTAGTGCAGTGCAGCAAGAACAGCCAGGCTTCGAAGTATTCAGGGATAGGGGCAGGAATACACACACATTCTGACGAGCTATTTTAAGGCTTAACTATTTCCCAGAGTCAACTGGCTTTCAGTAATTTGCCTTTTTTCCCACCCATTGGTTGATGAAAGGGATTCCACACCCCCAGAGAAATACTAAAACGGAAAAGCAGCCCAAAGGAACGAACCCCAGCCCTAAGGATCCTGAATAGTCGTCCTTTTCAAGGCACTCTGACAACTTACAGAGGGGCAAATAGTCCTTTCCGATGGTTCGTGCAGCAGCGTCTGTTCTTCTTGTGTCACATTGCGCTGTATTCTCTTTCCAGGCAGGAAAGTATTGGGAGGTATTTTGTGGGGCAGATAAAAATGTCTAGTGGCTCCTCTGCTTAGCCACACAATGTTAGACAGGAGTACTTGCATTGAGCAACCAGATGGACCTACAGGAGAACAAGGCGGGGACAAAGAGGCCACAGCTCCACACAATCCCGAATTTTTGCCCCATGAAATGCAAAAGATGAGTGGAGGAAAATGAGAAGCAGTGATAGGTTAATCAGACCAGTGTAAAGAGCACTGTTGCTGTACATAAAGCTTCAGCCAACTTTGATCCTCAAAATTCTCCAGTTACCTTGAAAGGGCTGCAGGTATCTCAGCTCATGCCTAGCAACAGTGCTGGATAAAATACGACCCATTCAGCTACCTGCCTGAGAGCTTGGAAAAAGACTGGTAAGACAGGAGAAATCATCATTACACTGTTTTTCAGTCAACCTAAAAAGCTTTGCTTCCACTTCACGGCTTCTTCACATTCTTATTCACACAAACTCTACCCTGCCCTTGGGTCTCTTCATTTACTCCCAGTATCCTCTCTAGGCATATACCTTCATTTTTACTCTCATGGTGCTGCTTCCAGACATTAATGTCTGGGAACACATAGCTAGGGTTCCCTAAGAACCTTAACTCTGCCCCAGAGGCAAAGATTTATGAAAAAAATCCTCTCTGTTTAATATAAGCTGGGACTACAAACAACGAAATGCCTCTATCCTAGTGCAACTGCAGAAATTTCAGCCTACAGTTAGCCAAACGTAACCCACTGAGTGCTGTGTTCTTTTATTTTCATATTTCTGATTAGGCAAACAACATAATGAAAGCCTCTCTCTCAATTCTTTTGTAAGACTGCATGACTCACCACTTATGTAAGCCTTATGCAGGAGTTGGTCATAGCTCCTCTGATGATTCTACGTCCTGGTTTGCAATTAGTGCAAAGCTTCTACCTCCCTGTTCTGTACAATAAAAATAGGTTCTCTCAACTTAGGTGTTGTGAGCAGAGTGGCTTTGGGAGCCCAGGAAAAGCTGTGAATCTGTAGGGAACTATGATAGGTAGTTAACTTAAAATTTTAGGTGGATTCTCTTGAGTTCAGCATTGGCATTGCTTTCCCTTCTCTCTCAAATGATGGACAAACAGCTTGTTGGGTCTGAAGACTTCACAATCATCTGGCTCTCAGGTATAGTGTATGGGTAACAATGGGGGTATTGATTGTATGGCCTGCCACATCATTTTTGATGCCATTGTGGTGAATATAGCATAGCAATATTGAAAAAGCATGGTTACTGCATGGGTAGAACAGGCTAGAAGCTGCTTCTTAACACAGCTGCCTGACACTTCCTATGTTTTCTGTGCTGGTTCTGTAGTTCCTAATTAAATGACTCACAACAGGTCTATTCTTTCTGGGGAAAAGAAGATTACGTTTCTGCTCTGTGAATGAAACAATGATCCTCTGCAGTCTCCCCTGTGTTTTTCAGGCAGGGAGCAAGAACATGAGGTGTTTCACTCAGTTCCACAGCAGCTTAGGCCCATTTAGAAAAAGAAAAAAGGAATGGCCCTTGCATGAAAGATATCAGACTCCTCTTACTTTTAGTGGTAGGAGAGGCAGCAAAACCATGCCCACCAGAACAAGTTAAGAATTACTAAGGAAAGCTTCATCTACTAAGTTTCAGCTGAAGGCACAGGACTGCACCACATCAGCAATACTGTGTGAAGTAGGAGAGGTGACATCACCCCAGAGCCCAGAATAGCAATCCCGTGAGGCCTGGGAAGATGGAGAGAGCCCCTGAGTTAGTAAGCATTTAGTATATTCAGCATTTAGTCTCAATGTTGGAACATGGACATTATAAATGGCCCTAAGTAGCAGATTGTTTTTACCATGTATCTAAGAGATAAATAAATATCTCTCCCAGAGGAGATAAACTCCCAAGTGCAGACTGGCCAGCACATCCTGACTCCTAGACATGTGCTCTATGCAAGCCCTTCAAAAACTGCACTCTCAGCAATTTTCTGTGATAGTTTTGTGTAACTTAGAGTTGCTGGATAAATGATCTGGACAATAAAATACCATATGACCTGTTTTTTCCAACCAGGGCTTCTTTCTACTGTGCTATCATTTCTTGAAGCATTTTTGAAGGACCTGAAAGATGTATTGTTTCCCTCTAAAGACTGCATCCATCAGATGGAGAAACCAATGCAGGAATTAGAGTACCCAGAGGTTTACCGCAGAAATTCCAGACATTCCTGTTCCTAAAAGACCAAGCAGGTAGATTGATTTAAAATGTGGAGTAATCTCACTGACTATGTTACCAAATGTAAAACATGAGGAAAAATTAGGAAGAAATGTAGTAATTTCTTAGCCTGTACATTGGATATATGCCAAATTTGGATAAAATCACTATAGGGTCTCTTAATATTTTAATTTTTTACCATCTTTATATATCTTTTGAGAAGGCACAGCCACCAGCAGCACAAGAGGCATTGCATCATTTTCCTTGGTGAATCACTGATATACAGCTGTTTTACTGTTTCTTAACACCTCCTCCCTTCAAGAGAGACAACTGCTTAAACTGTAATGACTGGGTTTTACATATGAATCACAGCAGTATGCAAAAGGAATTCAAGTTAGATATTATCCCACCAGTTTTAATTATTCCTCTACCCAGTTCCTTATTTTAAAAATAAAATTATTTTGGAATAGAAGAAAAGGAAAATAACAATCAAGTTTGTCCCTTCTGTTGTAGCCTATTGAAAGGCAGAGGATTACAGCAGTAGCAGACAGCAACATTTAGCCAAGTTTAGCAATCTTGGAATCAGAAGCAAAGCTGACCTTATGACTTGAGTACAACTGTCTATAGGTGACTGCCACCTGAAGCCAAAACTTGCAGATGTAAAGCCCCACTTCTTTATAGCTTTATTTGGGAGGATGACATTTATTATCTGCAACAGTCTCAATTCTCCACATGGTGCAGCCCTTTGAGAAGAGGCTGAGCCAGAGACAGAAGTTAGGCATTTAAAATACCATTTTTAATCACCATTTCTAATCAATCTATCCATTCAGCAACTTACATTTCTTTCATGGTGGATCATTATAGACCAGAAAAGTCAAAGGCCTACAACCTTTAGCTAAGTCTTTTTTTCTCTATGTCAAAATTTAGTTCTATACCAGAGACGTGTTGGTTGGCTATACATTTCAGAAAAAGGGTGAACACAGGAGAGTAAGCACCTGGAATAAGGTAAAAGGAGGATGAGATGGGAGGACAAGGGAAAACATCTTCATAAGCAAGAAGGTTTTTCTACCTCCTCCTTTACAAATATGGTTTGAAACCAGAAGGAACAATTATGATGTTTTAACTTCTGCTGTTAAAGTATCATTTCAGCATGTTTTACCTAAGCAGTGTACAAAGTTCCCACAACTGCTTACTGAGAAATCAAAGTTTCTGCTATTTAACTTTCTAGATTTTTATTCAACTGTATTTGTCTGCTCAGCTGTGTGGATGATAGGTCACATCCCACAGTAGTGTGGTGCTCAGCTTTTAGCATCTTTCCTGTAAAGATATTTTCAGTAGTTCCTTGTGGTATGCTTTTCTTAATTTAAAGTTTATAATCGCTGTTCCATGATGACATGTCTTTTATTAGTAAGATTTAGTGTTTTTTTTTCCCAGTTT